CCTTCCCCTGCCACGCCCACAGAACCGGTAGCAAAAAAACCTGAATTTCACCACTGCATACAAGGGGATTTTCAGGACACATACCCAATGCGATGATGACAATTTGTGGGTGTTCAGCAGCCAAATTCTTCAGATCCTGAATGAGTGGGAAAAAATCCACACACTTAGCCTGGAGCAGCAGCCCATTTTGCAAATGACATATTTGAAATGGGATAAGAATTTAAAACAACTTGTGGTGACATCTGATACGGGTTCTTAAATTTTGCAACGACGCAGCCATTGTAAGTATCTTCCAATCAATTGACTGGAGAAATTAGTCTCTCCATTGTCTCCCTCTCCCAAATTCTGCAAAGAGAAGCATCCTTTAAAAACATTTTAAAGATAACCAGTCTTCATTTAGAAAAACTCTGGTCTATCTTTATCTCCAACTTTGCCTTCACTGTCACCACAAGCAAATTTCTGTTAAAGACAAAACCTTTGTTCATCCCACTAACAGCTGAAGGCACCTTGGGCCTCACCTGACCCAGCCGGGTCCCGGCAAGTGGCAAAGATTCATTTCGGAGGGTTGGTCTTCTCTGCCAGCTGCCTGACCAGCTCCAAGCCAAGCCCACGATTGGAACCGGTCACTAGAACGCTGTGTGGATTCAGTTGATCCATCTCTCTCGACCGCCCAGAACTAACCAAGAAACAACTTTTATGCGCTCCCTTAAATATTGCCTGAACCCTCCGTTCATTCCTAGTCATTCCACCCAAGTTACATCACTTGCAAACAGTTTTCCTGAAGAAAATCAAGGGAGAGGGTTTTAGCAAACACTGCCCCCGCCTCTGGCTTTGTCCAATCTTGCAACACAACACATTCCTTTCTCCCCCCCCCCCATTCTAATCAGCGTGTTTTTTCTCTCTCTTTGGCTACGTTCAGTGGGAATGTTTTTATTTCAAAGAGATCTGTTTTCTGCTCTGAGCAAAAGCTCTTGTAGGAAGTTAGCACTCACCCCTCTCCTAGAAGAATGAAACCTCCTAGGAAATATGAAAAAGGCAGAATATTATGTTGGAAGAAATGTCCTTCTGGCTTCAGCTCCAAGTGGCAGAACCTAAGGGCCAGATTTGGCTATCATTACCTAATAGCTCGCTTCAACCAGTTTCGTGCTTTCCAAATCAGTTGATTGGGAAAAATTAGCCTTGCTACACTTCATCTGTTTCTAATTCTGCAAAGAGACTTCTTGAATGAGATGCAAAACTTTTCGAGTGAAAAACATCAACAACAAAACTCTAGAAAGCGTGCAGAAAGAGAAGTAAAAATCGCATGGGCCATTTTAAAAGTACAATTCATTACCAGCAGATTTATTAAAACATTCCGCACTACTGCAGTTACAACAAATGTATAAGCAACTTAATACAGCCATTGTGCTAGTGAGCCAGTTGTGTGCTGCTGCTACCAAAAAAGCCAACACAAGTCCAATTTGCATAAACAGAGGGATGGAATCAAGATCATGTGAAGTGTTAATACCACTTTACAATGCCTTGGTAAGGCCACACTTTGGATACTGCATTCAGTTTTGGTCACCACGATGTAGAAAAAATGTGGAGACTCTAGAAAGAGTGCAGAAAAGAGAAACAAAGATGATTACGGGACTGGAGGCTAAAACATATGAAGAATGGTTG